CCCCCACAGATCTGCACAACCTATGGAGGAAAGCATGAAAGACCAGAATGCAGATTCTACACAGCAGTATGCCATACCTGTGGAAAGCAAGGGTACATCGTCAGAGTTTGCAGAGGTTGTCAGTGGGAAAGGAAACCTGAGATACAACAGCACAAAGGGAAAAGGCCCCTAGGACAGAACAGAGATGAATACTACTCAGGAAGGCATAGCATCCAGTGCACAGAAGTCCAATGCCCTATCAAAGAAAAGATAAGACTTCAAGGGGTACCATGGTCCATGGAGCTAGATACTGGATCGGACCTGTCCATTATCTTCTCCTCAACTTTCAACCACATTTGCAAATGTAGCCGACAGTGGGTCCCACTCAAATCATCGAGCTTAGTGGTAACATATTTCAAGCATTATGATTGGTTAAGGCCCTGTGGGCCCATAGTATAAATTACAAGCATTTGCCTATTGTTCTTGAGTTTCAGTTTTGATTTGATAAATGCTATTGTATCTATGCTGGTCTGCTTATTGCCAACTGAAGCCCACTGCACAACAGGAGGGTCGAGGGAGAGGGAGAGGAAGAGAGAGAGGGGGAGAGCAGGAGAGACAGAGAGGGAGAGCAGGAGAGAAAGAGAGAGAGAGAGAGAGAGAGAAAGAGAGGTGTGGTATAGATCAAAGCACTTGTTTCAAACCAGACTGCTTTTACAATGGGTTGGGGTAGGAGAAACACTGTTACCTGTTTCTGCCTCCATAAGAGGTGAGTGACCTGTACTGCAATGGTTAAGCAGGATGTTCAGATATGCCCCTGATCTATGATATAAAATTGCCTTTATTTTAGTTATAGTTTAATTTGTCATTTTGAAAAAAGAATAATGGAGTTCATGAAAATGAATACATGGAACAGGAACAAGACTTTTGCCAGTAAGAAATTCTGATAATTATCTGGATAAGATAAGCAAGTTGTGTTTCTTTTCCACAATATGCTGAATAATTTCATCATTTTATTTAGATGCACTACAAAAAATAACTTATTTTCCTTCAAATATAATTTTCCTTATTGAGATAAAATGGAATAGTTCATCATAACTGTACTCGACAAGAAATATTAGATACTGATCTGGATATAGTCATGTCATTCTGAATACCCTACAGTGAGATGCATATCAATACTGTGGAAAACAAAATAATGCTGTTCCATTAACCAGAAACATAATATTCTAGCATAAATTCTCCAGGTTGTTTTATAATACTGAGATAGATAGAATATAACTTCATAAACCATCTTTGGGACTGTCAATTACTAGGGATTATGGAAATTGTGATCCAGTAGAAACCAGGATTATAATAGTTAGCTTTAGCAAACTAAATTTCTAAAATTGTGGCTCATCTGGCTATTCTGCTAGCAACAAATACTAAATATATGCTTTTTATTGCAAAATTATACACCCCTGCATGGCCAAAGAACAAGGATCATAGGCCATAAAACTCAAAATCCTAAGTGGGACAATTTGTAGCACTTGGTCTAAAAATTGTTTGAGCAATACTTAAGAGGGGGTGGGGGAGAATAACCTGTTAGGAGTGGTTATCCTCCAAATGATGAAAGTGCTTTTTGTTTCCACAAGAGTTTCTACAAGCATTTGACCAATGGATGTGACATTTATGTAAAGGTGAAAATGTATTGTTGGAAGGAGATGATTTGTATTGTAGAATATTATCACTGGATACAAGACATATTTTAAAATTTGTACAAGCTAAATTTTATCTTATTGTATTTTTTTAAATTTTCATTATCTTACTGAAATGCAGATTAAACAAAATAGCCAGTCATAGGAATAGTTAATTGTATATAATAACACCCACAGTTCAATATAACTAAAATGATAAAGTGATATCCAATGCTTTAAACTGAAAAGAAAAACGAACAGATTGCTATCAGGGGACCCTAGAAAACATTATTTCTGATAGATTCCTTATTATTTTAGAATTGAAGGTGTAAGGCAGCAGCCACGCTATAGAATAACTACTAACATTCAATTTTCCAGTCCTGTCACAGAATATTTGATATATTAGAGATCCTATGGCATTCTGAGAAATTTGCTCACAGACCCGAATGGCAAGCTTGAGTGAGGCAGACCAGGCAATTATTCTAGAATCCAGGTTCCTATGCAATAGTGACAAGATACGTAAATCAGCTAAGTAAAAGATGAAATTAGAAACTGGTTCTCCATTGGAAATGTCATTCAAAGCTGGGAAATACCTTTAGTATTCTTGTTTTGAAACCTGAGATAACAGTTCATAAAACTTAATCTACTTATCTTGTCTCTTACCTAAAGGTCTATCTTCCTATCCCTAAAGACAATGTTCCTTTCCTATCTTCATTATAAATCAAGATTGTTGAAATGCCACAGTCATATTTATCTATTTTCGGTACATTCTTATTTAGCTACAAACTAAAATATGCCCTTTCTCCAGTAAGTTGTGACAGCTTACAATCACACTAAATTAAAAATATAATGGTAAAGCTATATTACATTTCCCAGTCTTTCTTCTTCCTCTCCCCATGTGAGGTAACAATTGGCATGGCACAGCTATTAGAATCATTCTTTGTGTATTCTGTACTGCAAGGCCTTGGCAGTAAATTCTGTATGATAAGGCTGACTTGCCAGCTATGGAAATATTAATTCACTGGTTTTTAACTTCTTAAAACTTACCTGTCTTCTCTGATCCAGTGTTGTAGAAGAGGCATTGACTGAAGAGGATGCAATTGATTACTTAAATTCAAAATATAGTATAAAAATATATTAACATTGAACATTTTTAATAATATTACTGATCAGAGACCATTAAAAATATTTTGGAGATAAAAGAAACTGCACTGTAATTCTTCTTTATATAAAATAACCAAGTCAATTATATTTTCTAAAAAGTTTTTTGTGCATTAGAGAAAATATTATTTACCTATATCAGGATCATAACTGACAGATATATAATAGTACATATAGCAAAAAAAACCCTTACTGATTATTTAAAAAGCAGTCTTAAAAGGCTTAGAAAGTATATAATCTATTTATTATCCTGTGTGTGTTAACAACATTTCAATAACACTATTTGCAAAGGAATAATTTGTATTTGTTCTTATTTTCCATTTTCTAATTAATGCAGTCCTCCGTATATTTTACTTAGTATTTCAATTGATTGGGTTTTTTTGTTATTGTTTTTAGTTTGGACCTTATTTTAAGAATAATGTGCTTTTCTTCTTTTTTTTTTAATCTGATGATTTATTTCTCTGCAAGATTTTTCAGGATCTCTCTGGGCTGTTGTCCTTGCAACTTTCCTGTACTCCTCCAGCTTGATTTTCTTTGCAATCCTTGTAAAGAATGTGAAGGTCAAATTTCACATGAAGTCAGCAAGGCTCATATTCCACTTTATAAAAGGAGAAATCAATAGTATTCATTAAATCAGATCTTGGAGGGAAATATTCATCTCAACCCCTAAGTAAATCAAAAGCAAACTTTAACATCATAATTTTGATGGATTTTTTCCTTTACCAGTGTATAGGAACAGAGGCTTTTAAGGTTCTGTCCAAAAAATTCTTTACTAATTTCTGAAGCTAGATCAAAGATAGGATTAAATAAAAAAAATTAAATGAATTATGACAGGTTTCATGACTAATAATTTAATAATAATTATATGAACAAATTAATCATTCTATCCTTTGGAAATAGTGAAGGGAAAATAGAAAAGTTAATTGATATGCAGCATTTAAATCTGTGAGCATATGAAGCTATTCCAAATCTATGTGTAAGTCGATCTAATTTCTCCAATTTCAGGTTCAAGTTATATTTGTGCTATTTCCCTTTATTTTGAATAATATACAATTATGTTTAAAATCTATTTAGGAAAAATAGCATTGCACATATATATAATGCAGTCTTTCTCAGGCCTAAACTAGGAAGTTGAAAAATATCTAGATACCAGCTTATACTGGATCGGTATGATAAAGAAAACTTCCTCTTGAAATAGATTGAGTTGAGCTTAAAATAATATTTACTCTTGTATATCCCCATACTACATTTAATTAGGATTTCATTAATTAAATATAGTTAATTTGATCACTTCAAAACACCTCTTTCTTAACAGATTGAAGACTGTGCTTATTTTTCAGAAGTTACTTGTGGCACTCTCTCCCCTTCCTCTCTTTCTCTCTCTCTCTTTTTCTCTCTCTCTCTGTCTCCCTCTCCCTTTCCTCCTCTTCCTCTCTCTCTCCCTCTTACATAAAGAGAGTGAGACATTCTGTTTTAGCATCACTTTAGCCTTGATCTCATTTTACATTTGTTTAATAATTAAATAGTTACAAAATACTTTCCTGTTCATAGATTTTATTCACATTGGTTAATATGAATTCCAACTTGTAACCTTAACTTACAAATTCTTAATTTAATTTCTGAGAGGATGAACATATTTGTAGAAGTAATTGAAGCTTTTTATTTCAATTTCCTAAAGCATCTCAGAAATAGATAATTGTTCTTTCCAGAAGCCTTTAACTACTTAATATGACAGGTTGTGGTTCAAAACAGCTAAATAGTTTAGTTTAAAATATGGTTTTCAATAACCTGGTAACCTATTTTTTTAGCAAAGAATATACCATGTCCTAAGCATTCTGTAAACAAAATGGCACTATTCATACATAAAAAGAAATACATCCAAAGTCTTGAAAAGCCATAAGATATTATTAAGGTTAATCTTCAATTCGACTCACAGTCTGGGACTGGTACAAACTTAACAGTTCATGTTCTAAGCAAGGACCTAAGAGCTGTTAAGGTAGAGTCTAAGTATAGTCAGTAGTCAGGAGACCACAATTATATTTCAGTACCAGACTTGCCAAGGTACCAGCCTAGAGTGGGATTCAACTGGTGTAACAACTGGTTCGGTGAGTGTGTGTTTTGTGTGTGCATGTAATGTTTTAAAAACAGCCATTTTCAGTTAAATCTTACCTTCTGCTGCAGCCCTAGTGAGTAAACAGCTGAGGCGCAGCAATCTGCTGTGCCACATAAATCAGCTGGCTTCAAAACAAGCAAATAAAGGATAGACTAGGGAGGGGTGAGTGGATGGGGCCAACTAATCACCGGAACTATCGGTTCACCTGAACCAGTCCATACCGGCTGAATCCAACTCCTGTACCAGCCCTGTTAGAGGACATGCTTGCATGCTTCCCAAGGTTTGCAACAGGAAGGTGTGCCACAGGAAGGTGAGCTGGCTTGGCACCAGAAAGAAAGGTGGGCAGCTCTTCTTGCAGTTGGATGTTTCCACTGGGAAGGTTCAGACCAGTCAGGAAACTGACTGCCTGCACAGAGCACCAGCTGGTCTCCCCACTGAAATAGTATATTTTAGAGGGACAGAAGCTGAGGTGAGTGACAAAAGCTCACCCTCCCACATGGTGCTTGGCTCAAACTTCCAGAGTTGAAATCAGCATCAGCATCATTAAGCTACTGAGCCACTATACCTCCTCCACCATAAGAAAAGCAACCATAGTCCTTGGGCTACAGGCAATCCCTTCTTTTCAATTTTTTTTTGTTTCACCAAGGATAAAAATTAAGTAGAACTAATATCTTTTTTTATAAATGTTATTTTTTCAGCTGATAAAATACTACAGATTTTATTTATAGATGACTATAATTTCATATGCTTTACTGGGATGTAGTGATTAAGATTTCCATTTGCAAATTTAGAGCACTGGTTTTTACTCAGGGAAGGTAAAAAGAGAATAGATATATGTAATGAAGTAAACCTAATGTAAAATGACTGATATAAACTGTTTTCACAGAACACTGCTCCCATAAAAAGCATTTAAATAGATTTCAGCTAAGATAGCAATTAAAAGATTCATTCTGACAAAGTATGTAAGTATGTTTTTATCTGAATAGGGAAAAGAGAATGTACAAATAATTTCAACATTTAAGATAATCTCAATGAAAATTCACTGAAGCCCATGTTGTGTTCAAAGGCTTAGTGTTATTAGAAAAAAAATCGTATGAATTCCGATTAAGTTTAATAAAGACAGAGTTTAAAAACAACTTCTGAAGTCTTTTTAGTGATAATTACTATTACTATAACTAATCCTTATAAGGGATGGAAAGGAAAACTAACCAGTCATGAGTTTAAGGTTGAACTGCCAATGATTTCATCTCCTATTCTTATTTATTCTCTTTGTTGGTTTATTCCATCTCTTCCTCAAAAGATAAAGTTAACATTTCCTCCAGTTGTTTCTGACTCTAGGGGGTGGTGCTCATCTCCATCTTTTAGCCAAGGAAACCAGTCTGAAAATTCTTTCCATGATCATGTGGCCAGCATGACTATACACATTGGCACATGATATGCTGTTACATTCCCACTGAAGTGTACCCATTAATCTACCCGCATTTGCATGCTTTTGAACCAGTGATGGGATTCAAAACAAAATTACTACCAGTTCTGTGGGTGTGGCTTGGTGGGCGTGGCAAGGGAAGGATACTGTAAAATCTCCAGTCAAAGGTGGTATTTGCTGGTTCTCCGAAGTACTCAACATTTCTGCTACCGGTTCTCCAGAACTGGTCAGAACCCGCTGAATACCACCTCTGTTTTGAACTGCTATGCGAGCAGGAGCTGGGGCAAAAATGGAAGCTCACTCTATCATGTGGCACTCAGGTTTTGAAATATTGGTCCAGCAACCCCAGTATCTAGAAGAGATTGGACAACCATTTGTCTGAAATGGTATAGGATTTCCTGCCTGAGCAGGGGTTGGACTAGAAGACCTGGGAAGTATCAAAAAGGCATTGGAGTATTACAGAATAAATCAGTTAAGGTAATTTTGTAAAATGTGTTTTCCAGAATTCATTCCAATTCCTTAACAATGTTGGTTCACATGACAAGTTAGGATGAGGGAGTTTGCTTAGAATGATTAGTGACCCTGCAATTTAGTACCCAACTTCATCTCCTACAAAAATGCTTTTGGAAAATATATAGACTTTTCCTCTTAACTTTGGCCTGAACCTGATCCCTTTTTAATTGTCATCTCTCCCAAAATTACATTTAGTTGGGCTGTGTCCAGTTTTTAAACATTTTGTGGTGATGGGCAGACAGATAGAGTCCCAAAGTTCTTTCTAACATTCTGTTGAATAATAAAAAATATTGAGAAGAAAAAAGATAATGGAATTGTTGGCCTGTTACATCCCAAGCAATCTATTATCTGGCTTGTTTTCTTGTGTACTGTAGCTTGTAACCTCTTCTCAACACTTAGTCCATTACAGTATTGAACAATAGGCTTTTCTGGGTTAATATAGTTCAATAATATTGCTATTTAAAGTACAGAATAAATCCATCTGAAGTTCAACTACCCACAAGGGTTTTAGGAAAAGAAGAAATGAAGAAATTGAGAAATGATATTTCTCCCCTGTAAATGTTAAACTTTACTCTCTTTAAACTCTTCTGTTTACAATAAGACTATGCAGGTAATTAAAAGAATGGTCTGGGAGTTCATCTAATTCTCCAATGATCATTTCTTTTCTAAACATGGTAGCGTTATCAAAACTGAGGGAAATGCAATGTAGCACTTTTTTATTTGGTGACTCTGAGTGTACTCTGTTTAATGTTTTCCCATTAGTTACCATCTGTTCTTTGTTTAGCCAAATAGATTTTCTTCCTAGCTTGTTTGGACATTTGAGACAAATAAAGCATTCTTGTCAATGTTTATGATTCTCCTGCAGAATATTTAAAGCAAAATATTTTATTAGAATAAACTGCATTATCCCTAACATAATAATAGTTTGAATAATAACATCTTATTTTATTGCTTTCTTGAAAAGAAAAAAAATATTATTCACCATGTTTTGATTATAAACTTCAGACAATGCAAAGCAGAGCCTCTCCCACTATATATCAATGGAGATTGTGTGGAAAGAGTTCATAGTTTTAAATTTCTACGAACTCATATTTCCGACAACCTTACTTGGTCAGTCCACACTATGGCCACTGCAAAGAAGGCCCAACAGCACCTGCACTTTCTGAGGCTGCTGAAAAAGAGTGGTCTGGGTGAGAATTTGCTGGTTACTTTTTACCGTTCTACCATTGAGAGCATTTTGACATACTGTGTACTGGTGTGGTATGCTGGATGCTCTGTAATAAGAAGATGCTCCAGAGAGTTATAAACACAGCACAAAAAATCATTGGTTGCTCTCTTTCTTCTTTGGAAGAGATTGCGAAGACCAGACTCCACTCTAGAGCACTAAAAATCTCCACAGACCATTCTCATCCTGGTCATTCATATTTTGAACTGTTACCATCAGGGAGGCGTTATAAGTGTCTTAAAATGAGGACTAATAGACTGAGAAACAGTTTCTAGAGCACTAAAAATCTCCACAGAACATTCTCATCCTGGTCATTCATATTTCGAACTGTTACCATCAGGGAGGCGTTCTAAGTGTCTTAAAATCAGGACTAATAGACTGAGAAACAGTTTCTTTTCCAAGGCAATAATTGTCTTGAATCAAACATTGCATTTGTGATTTAGTCCTATGTATATAGTGGCATTTTTAAACTATTTAACTTACTAAATGTTTTAGATAGGTTTTAGACTAGGTTT